ATGAACTTTGTTTTTTTGGCAAACAGAAACTGTGCTGAAGTCACTTAAAAAACACACTTGGTATTTAAATGAAAGAGTAGTGGTTATGTGCCTGATAAATGTCGATCAACTAGATAAACTAGTTCAAACATCTAAGCCTGCCAGTTGAAATAAATTGAAGTCTTTATTGAACTTGCTGGTTTTTTCTTAAATGTTTTAAAAATAAACATTACATGAGATAAAATGACTGAAAATCAGTTTGTCAAACATTCTTCCAGGTTATATAATATTAAAAAATTACGCCACTAATCTTTTGTTGCAAATGACAGTGCAGAATGCGCTATTAAATTTGGTCAAGACTTCATTGAAACCTCTGAAAAAATAAAGAAAGTAGCCAATCAAATTTACTGACAGTTGCTGATTATTGTTTGAAATTTTAAACAACATAAAAAATCTTGGCTCAACACAAAAATGTTATAATTATATAAATATAAAACTGTATCAGAATTGGAGTAAAAATGAAGCAGCAAGGTTAGACTGGCTCACTGCTTACCTGAAATAATACAAAAAATTATTCTTAATTGTTTGGAGCTAAAAAGTAGAGATAATTAGAACATGGATAAAACTGGTATTACTCAAGTTTAAGCTCCAAATCATGTCTTGCTATTGACAAAAAATATTTCAGTGGAGATTCCATCATTAAAAAAAAAAAAAGATTGAGTAGCATACTTGTTGGATTAAAAACGTTGCACTTAAATATATTGCTAAATGTGCTGTCAACTTACCCCTTAAGTAAAAGAAGCCTTGGGGTAAGTTAGTACAAAACTTATTTTTATTTTTTGAGGCCCAGTTTGATTCCTAAAATCTTTTTAATAAATGACACTTGAACATGAAAAATTCTTCAAAACTAGATTTTATTATTTTAAAAAATCCATACAGACTACACAGCTCAAAGAGTAAAAACAGATTTCCTCCCCTAAATTGTAAAAGTACACTGCCTTTTTAAAATGTGCACTGATTTTTTGTGCATAACTTTACAGTTATGTAAACTAGAATTTTGATATGTCAAATTTTAGTTAAGTGAAAATATTTTGTTAAAATGCTCAATGGTTCTTTGTGCGGAGAATAGATTTCCATAATTTCCAATACACTGCAATTCTTAAACTACTTTACTGCTTTTTCAGATTATTTTTGTAAAGCAATTTTTGTTGCCTGAGGTTGAATTTTTTTTCTTCTTATCTTTTCAAAACATTTTTTAAGCATCTATTATAAAGATTAATGTTGTAAGCCAAGTTTAAAAAAAAAAGATTAGTAAATAGAGTACTTGAATCCTTTTAATACAGAAATGTAATATTTAAGATGTTTCAGGTAATTAATTTTTCATAATCTTGATAATTTGTTGGCCTAACCAAACACTCCTGTTGATTTATGTACATTTCATTGTGCCTATCTTTACTTGGATCTGTCTATCATTAATTCTATATATCAATACTATTATTTTAACCAAAAGATATTCAGCGAATAAAAATTTATAAATATAAGAATATAAACTCAACTTAAAAAGTAATGCACTTGGTTAAAGGGATCCCCTAAGTGCTCCTAACATATGATCTCATATGAAAGAGCATTAAAAAAAAAATGTAAGTTTTTTTTCTTTTTCACAAAATTGTAATAATAAATGCATGCTAACAAAAAGCAATTGCCGAAATCACTTAAAAACAACTCCATTTTGATTTTATTTCTTTACCATTGAAACTCGATTGTTAGTTGTTAAAAATCACATTAGTACGTCACAACAACTTTAGAATATCTACTTCAATTTTCAATAAAAAAATGTCGTGGTTAAATAGTTAAGTTTTAATCAAGTTTTTTTAACTAGTTTTGCAAAAACAGTATAATAGAATTCGGTTGAAAGACGTCGTTAAAAAAAAGTTATTAAGTAATAGTTTTAAATAGTTTAGAACTTATAAAAAAAGTCTTACAGGGCTCGTATTAATCGTATCGCGATCGTGATTGCTTTTCACACTTTTGCGATTTTTTCTTAAAAAAAATCATTTCACGATTTTTTTTTTTTTTTGGTTGTTTAATTACTTTTTTTCTAGGTTAGCACTTTTTTTAGAAATTCTAAAAAGTAATGTTTTTATCATAAAGAACGTCACACAAAATTTATTATTCTGAATTGAAGATTTGCTCTTTTGCGCGGAGATTTTCTTTCAACTTAAAACATTTTTGAATTTAAATTACTTTAAATCTCTGCGTGGAAAATTTTTAAAAGGTCTTTAAAGCGAAAAGTTGAAAAATTTTTATACTGTTTGAAAAAAAAAACTAATAAAAAAGAATTTATTATTATTATTAATTCTAATAATTATTAATTAATATATTATTAGTTAATTCTTTTTTACTAGTTAGTTCTTTTTTATTAGTTTTTTTTTCAACCAGTATAAAAATGCTAATAAAAACTAGCAATTTTTTTACTTTAACATTTTTAAGCCTTATTTTAAACATGAAGTTTAATGCGATTTATTAAACCAAATTTTTTTGTTTCATTTTTTATTGAAAAACAATTGAAATAGAGAAATTGAATAAAAACATCAACTTAAAAACCATTTAAATGAAAAACTTAATTATATTTAAACTTTTATTAGTCCTTTTCAAGAAACAATAAATTATAAAAAACGTTGTATCTAATTTTTTATAAAGTTTTTGACAATGTTTTTTGATTTATTGACGATCATTTTTTAATTTATTAATTATAACAATTTCATTTATTTGCTTTGTTTTATATTAAACGCATTTTATGTTATTAAACTGTAAAAACCATAACAATTAAACAGAAACCATAAAAATGACTAAAATAAATTTATTTTTGTACAAGGAAATATTTTAAATAAACTTTCATGTGTCTACATAAATATTCATTTGTTAAAAACTGACTAAAAAGAGTTTAAAATTTGACTTCTATTCACTTTTGGCCATGGAATTGCCCTTATAAATACCTTATAAATTATAATTATAAATACCCCACAAATATATAAACAAAAATTATAAAAAAAATTTTAATATACAAATATATTTTCGTAAAATGCTATAAAACTTATTCTTGTAAGTAATTATGTGTTAGTTAAAAAAAATGACTTTACTTCTATTCATTTTTGGCCGTGGAATTGTCCTTATAACACAAATATATAAATAAAAATTATAAAAAAAATTTTAATATACATATATATTTTCACAAAATGCTACAAAACTTATTCTTGTAAGTAATTATGTGTTAGTTAAAAAAAACGACTTTACTTTTAAATTTAATTACCAACTAATACGTTTGCAATAATGACATTTTGTCTACTTTGTTTAATTTGACGTACAAATGTTAGTTTTTTGAGGCAGTAGAGTCAATAAACTTTGGACAAGACGCATTTTTTTTAATTGAAGAAAAGCGTTTTTTTTGAAAATTAAATTTCTTAGTGTGTGTTCATTATTACGTTTTAAAAAAAATAATATACATCAAACATTTTTTTTTTAACATTTTAATTTTTTTTTCTTTCATATGAGATCATATCTTTATAGCACTTAGGGATCCCTTTAAATATCTTTGTTTTAATATTAAACTTGATATTGTCTTGATATATCCAACTAAGCCAGACAATTTAGAAAACTTCTATTTATTTGTTCCATCCATGTTATACAATTAAAAACATGATAATTAAATCATGTGATAATTAAATCATGTCAATCAACTTGCTCAATAAATTTTTGGGTAAATAAATACCTTAATGGTCTGAAAAGTTTATAAAAGCTTATAAATGCTTAGTTTATAAAAGCTTACAAAAGCTTAAAAAAGCTAATAAAAGCTTATAGCTATACAAGTTCTTTTATAATTACATAATTCAACTAACCCTGGAACAAGAGAAATTCAACCAACCTTGGGAGAAAAATACGCATATGCTTAGCCAAGTGGATTTTATTAAATAAAAACTGAACACTTGAACGAAAAATCTACCTCTTCAATAACTTTGCCTGTTTTTTTTTTCATTATAGATTTACAAGTAAAGCTGTTTTGATTTTCTAATAGCTCAGCACTAAATTGAGCAATATGTTTTAACATCTTTATGTTGGATTCATCTGCTAAAGTAGGATCAATAAATACCATTATGGGAATTCCTAAAAAAATAATTACAAGAAACTTTTTAATAAGTTTGAAAATAGTATCGTAAAAATCAGAGCTAACAAATGTTGCTTTAAAAAACCCATTTTTTAGCTAATTTTATTAAAATTTCTTTGAAAAATTTGAAAATTGAAACTCTAATTTTAGTTTCAACATCTCTTCCACACCCCACCCCCCCTCTTTTTTTAAAAAAAAAAAAAAAAAAAAAAAAAAAGTAATCCAAGAAATTAACTTTTTTAAAAAAGTAATTCAAGAAGACCAAATGTGACCACACTGCAAAATATAATTAAATAAAGAATATTTCCTTTGTCTTTTTTTTTCCTTCACCACTATTGCTTATGGCCAAATTGTTTATAGCGGCATTGAACTATGGATTCCTAGTGTTTGTGGCAGTTTCAATTCATTAATCACCAAATAAACTTACATTAAAGATTCTAGATATGAGACTTCTATAATCAGTTCTCAACTCTAATTCCACAAATTTAATATAGCATAAGGACTAACATAAATATTTAAATTTATTTAAATATATATATATATATATATATATATATATATATATATATATATATATATATATATATATATATATATATATATATATATATATATATATATAAAATAATATTATAGTATTCCCAAAAAATACCTCACAAAAAAAATATTTTGATTAAATAAAAAATTACTGTTTGAGAGATCACACAGTATGTTCAGCAAACCCTTCCATTCACCATTATTATCAATGCAACCAATAGATCTCCCAAATATTACAAGATTATCAATAACAAGCAGTGAGTTTTGAGAAGAATACTGGCTAATAAAACCATGGATATCTTCAAGTTTGTTTAAACTAGTAAGAAAAATAACATTTTACTTCAAGGACATTTTAAACCAAAAATAATATTTATAATTTTTACATAAATCATATGGTTTAACCTAGTCATACCAGCTTCCCAATTAAGAGGGTCAGAAAACCCATCATAAAATATGTATCTAAAAACAATAAGAATATAATAAAAAATAACTTATAAAAAAAAAAGTAATTTTAATGTCAAATTGGCACAACTAGATTTTTTATATATATAACTTGAATATATATAAAAAAATATTTTAAATAATATTGCATTTTGATGTCATACTGAAATAGGTAACTGTAAGGGCTTCAGTACATAGATCAACTGACTATGACTAAACCAGTGCCACTATATTGACTAAGGATTTAGTTTAGGCCTTTTTTTCAATATTCCTTTTTTTTTTCTTCATTATTCCTTCTTTTTTTTACATTATTCCTTCAGGTTTTTTTTTCTTTTTTCAAAAAAAATCGTATGGAAAAAGGTAAGCAAAAAAAGGCAGGGAAAAAGTCAGCAAATGTAAATCTATATACACTATAGTAGATATTTTTTTAAAAGACTTTTTGTGTAGATAAGGCAAACCTTTGTACTACCTTGATAATAAATTTTATCAGACAATACCTGATAATGATTCCTAGTTGATAATCATGATCATTATGGATATCAATATTCTTAGTTGAAACCCAATCCACTATGTCTAATGTGGATTTTACTCAGACTTTGAAAGCCAAATAAGAACTTTCACTTACCATTTTGCTTAATTGTAATAATTGAAAACCATCATGGGAGTCATTAACAGTTAGAAGCAAATCATCTGATGTAAAGTAGCTGTTGTCATTAATAACCAAATTAAAATTTTTATAATTTTGTAATAACTGTCTTCATTTTGGATACACTACAAGTTGAAGCATCTGGTCTTTTTATTTGTTTATAGCACAAAACAAGCTTCATATTAGCGATGTACTGATGAAAAATGCTAATAATAGGTTTAATTTGTATATATAAAGGTAATATCAGGAATGTAATTTGCATTTATAAGTTGTATTTTTTCGGCCTTTTTTAACAGAACATTACTACTTCATATTTTAAAACATTTTATAAATAGTTAGTAATTTTGTGACAACTTGTTACAGGGGAGAGGGGTATTCAATTTTATCATGAAACTTTTTTTTAAGGTTTAAAATCTAGAAAATCTTTTCTATTAATTAAAATAGCTGTTTAGAATGTTTCAAAAGTGCTTAGCTTAAAACATAAACCATCAAAAATTGGAATTGACTTTTTAAATTGACTAATAACTATATATTAGTCTTATAGGTCAATTATTAAATGACTAAATAATTGTAATACTTGTATCATTATTTAAATAATATTTTTATGGCTGTATAACATCCATGAAAAAATAATTAATAATAATATAATTATCAAATAAAAATAATAATACAATAATTATTAAATAACAATAATAATTAATACGCATTAGCATAAAATATTACAATGTTAATGTAACCTGTACCACAACACTAACTTATTACTATAGAAGTTATTTAAATTACTTATCAAAAATTAAATATTTCTTAGGGGATCATTTGTCCATTTAGTTCCTGTTCATTTATTCAACATTATATTGAACTATAAGAGTGCAAAAAAGTATATATGTACACTTTAATTTCCCCATACCTATTAAAGTCATGGCCATATCAGTCATTTATGTAGGCTGATAATTATTCTGTGAAACTTTCAAAAATATAGATAAAAAATATAATTGTAATTAAACGAGAAAAATAGTTAAAACATACAAAACAATTTTTAAAAATCAAAAAATTCATTTTCCAAAAGAAAGTTAAGCCCTTATCCTTCCTAGCTGCGCCTCAATATATGCAAGTTTAATTATCCATAGATCTACACCACTATATTACTACCCTATGGGTATTTGTTTTTAAAAGTTACGTTCTAAATGTCTTTTAAACATTTTTAAATCGTCTTTTAAACATTATTTATGTAAGAATGTTTAGAAGATGTTTAGAAGATGTTTAAAAGACATTTAAAAAACATTTAGAACGAAACTTTTAACAACAAATGCCTGCTGGGAACTGTTTAAAATTGAAGAATATAAATATTTTTTGCCTACAAATATAGTTTTTTTATAGACTTCTTATTTGTATGCGTGAACAAATAATGACTTTCAAAGTAGTATTAAATAATACAATAAATAAAATTTATATGTATTAAAATATATTTATTAGTAAACTATAAGCAGCTAATAAAATTTCAAATATTACTGTATTTAAAACCTCATTAAGTTTATAAAGGGGTTGGGGTTGGGGTGGTGGTGGTGGTGCAATATTAGCAAAAGTAGTGTAATCTAATTTATAAATGACCCCTTATTGAACTTATGACCGTGTCCTTAAATTTCAAAAATGTTCTATTGAACATTTTAAATTCAAGAACATGGCAATAAGTTCAACATTTTTAACAATATGCTAACTTTTTTTTAAATGTTTTTCACTTTCTTAAGGCCAAGAGGACCACACAGTTGAGAACCTTGAAGAACAAGGCTGCTGTGGGGATAAATAAGTTGAATGTGGTACTACCGTAAAGAAGTGATTTGCTATAAATAATTTAATTTAAGATTTTTTCATCATAAAAATTATACAAATGTAGTTTTGAATTTAGTTCTTTTTTTTTTTCAAATCAATAAGATTAATTTATCAAAAAGATAGAAATATTAATAGTTAAAGTAGCAATTATTAAAAAATTATTTAAAAAAAACTAATGCACTTAACAGAGGGCCAAAATAGGATTTCATTTTTGTGCCAATTTTTATTTTTGACATTTTACTTAGATGCATTTTGAAATCATTTTTTAGTTTTAAAACAAAAAAGTACTTGTCTGAAAAATCTTTGTAGTAGGAAGGTAATGAGCTGTAACATAAAACCAAAACACGTTCTCTAAAACAAATATAAAGCAAATATAATTATAAAGTGTTTAAATTATAACTTTTAGTTATTCTTTATAAAAATTTACCTACTTTTATACAAAATGTAACTGGGGATATTTACTAAAAATTTGTCAAGGTCAAAATTAACCTATAAATAAGTATAGATAAGAGAAAAAAAAAAAAAAAAAGCAAACAAATAAACAAGAAGTAATAAGATTCAAAAATAGAAAAGCAACCTTTTTAGAAAATGTGTGGACATCCTTGTAGACATATTATTATACTTAAATACAGCATATAATAAACAAATTAATTATACTAAATTTAACCTATTAAAGTCTTATTAACTTTGAATAATTAACCCATTTTTAACTGTAAACACTACAAGAGTGTTTAAAAGTTCCAGCTCTATTAAATTAATAAAAGTAATCAAAAAACAAACAAAATTTTTAAAATGTTTTATGTGGACAAAGAGATTAAAAATCTAAAAAGTTGACAATCAAACAAAAAATTTTAAAAAGCTGTTTAAATTAATTTTGAGACTTTTATAAAATTACACGGTAATCCAGAAAAGTGTAATGCAGGCGACACAATTTTCTGGATAGTCAGAACAAATTTCTTATTAAAAATAATTGACAATTTTATAAAAAGACTGATAAAATTTTTTTACAAAATGATAACTAATAGAGAATGACAACTGAATCATCTTTAAAATAGTAGAAAAAATAACAAAAAAGTTTTGAAATAAGAAAAACAATAAAATGTTAATAAAGTAAATATATACAATTACAGTGTACCTTTTTCTATCTAGCTCTCGAATCAGCAAAATCTTCAAGTTTTCATCGCAGCTACCATCTAAACGTAATATCCTTCATAAAATTTTCTCTACTTCACCAGGAATGCAAATATGTCAAGAATTGGTGTAGCCTTACCACTTACTGCTTTAAAAACTTGATTTGTAAATTTAATTTATACTACCTTGTAAATTGATTTTAATATAAATTTCACAACTATATATTTTATGATTATATTTCTTAAATGAAATTGTGGAAAAAAAGTCTCTTGCTACTTTATTGAAGAGTATGAAGCACTTAGCACACACACATAGTGTTTTACATAAACCAGCATAAAACATAAACAAACATGGATTTACAGTAAAAACCAATCTTACAAAAATTCTTTACAACAATAATTCTTGACATAAAATTGAGGTTAAAAAAAAAATCTAATCAAGTTAAAATTAGAAAATCTTGAAAGTTAACTTCTAATTTTCTTTACGTCTAAAGTGTTCAATATGTAATTTGGCAAGGTAAATAGTATGAACATACATTTACAGGCCTTGTTTTAAATAAAAACATACATATACAGGTCTTGCTTTAAATAAAAAATGCTTAATGCATTAGTTTAACGTAATATTTGATATCACAAAATTCTCTTTATTTTTTTTAAAGACATTAAGTTTTTTAAATTACAGCAATAATATAAATTACTGCAAAACGAGTTAAATGTTATTTAATGTTTTTTTTATTATTACTATAAAGTAATGTTTAATTTCTTTTTTTTTTTTTTTAATATTAAATAATTAAATTTAATATTGCATTTTTAAAAATGTTTGATATTAACAAATTTCTTTCTTTTCTCGATGTTTGCATAAATGAATTAAAATATGTTAAACTTTTTAAATGATTATTTCTTAAACTTCTAATTGCGGCTTTGCGACTACAAATGATGCTAGTTTTAAATTAAATCATATATTTTTCATCAGAATTAAATTATATTTTTATGATCTTTGCTTCAAGCTTAAAAAATCAATCATTACAATAAAATAAAAACAAAATTAAACTTTTAATTTTATTTAGCTTTTTTCATTAGTAAATATTTACAAAATGAAAAAATTTATTATTTAAATAGTGTTTATATAAAAACATAATTGTCATTCAAACTTTTGTAAGAAATATATTTACATAAACGTTATTCAAAAGTTAACGTGACTTTTTTAAAAATTAATTACTTCATTTATCTTACCGCTTATAGCATAATTTAAAAGTTAAAAAATGATAAAAGTCGTTTAACCGAAATCGCTTGCTGCTTACGTAAAAATCACTTAAGGCGTACATAAATCACTTTAAGCTTAACGCTTTAAAACAAGGCCTGCATGTATGAACATGATATCAATATGAACATACATATAAATCTAATTTAAAAAATTTTTTAAACTTTTTCAAAATAAACTTTTTTTTTTTTCATTTTTCAGGAATTTATTAAAACTATTAAAGAATTAGTTATTACTTTTTGAATTGCAATGCAATCCAGGTCTCTCTATTGAAAGACCTACAATCCAGGAACACATTCGTGTTAACAAAATTTGATGTACTCAAAAATTTTATACAAAAGCATTTAAATAGATAATAATATAAAGTACTTTTTAATTACATTTTTTACAAGTTAATTAGAAATTTATGTGCTTTTAGATTCAAAATTTAACAGCTATCCACTTCTAAATGTTATGAAATCAGCTGACAAAAGTTGAGTATACACTTTTTCCAGTAATAAAAAAAAAAAACATACCTACAAATACATTAACTGATGCCACCTCTTTGCCATGAAGTAGAGATAACATACTTTTATACAGAAAATGAAAAATGTATTCATAAAAAAACTGGAAAATAAAGCATAAAACTTACATTTAATTGTCACATTCGGATACTAAAAAAATGTTGACCTAATATCCCATAAAACAAAAGGTTTTTACAAAAGAGTTAAAGGCTTCAAACTTTGCTATGTCATTACAGCTAAAAATTTGTTTACAAGCATTTGTGAATTAAAGTGTAAAAAGTTTATAAAATATTCACAAATAATAATAAAAAAACACAATCTATTGCATATTTATTGCATTTATTAAAACAATATGTAAAAATAATAGCAATAATAATATGTCACAGTAAATAACAAATGACATATTACTATTATTTTTAAGTATATTCTTTAAACAGTGTTTAAATAATGTACTTAGCATGTAAAAGATTTTAGAAACAGCCTTCAGCAGAGCTAATTCTAAGCTGAAATTCACACCTTGAACAGAAAAAAAAAATCAAAAAACAAACAATCATTAAATAGAATACAATATGTTAAAGAAAGAAATTTTAAGTAATCAAATAAAAATCTATCCAATATTTAATTCATGTTATGTAATATGATGGGATGTGATATAACAATTAACTAGGCATTTAAAAACTAAAAAGTGGACAAGCAAACAAAACAAACACAAAACAAAAATAAAAAAGAACACAAAACAAAAACAAAAGAAAAATTTAAATTTTGTGCATTCTGCTATTGTATCCACAACAGCATTGCTAAAAAATATATAATTCATGACTATGTTGATAAAAATTCATGATTATGTTGATGACTATGTTGATAAAAAAATAGACAAAAAAAAAGACAAAAACACTACATTTGAGGAAGACTTGCTTGACATAAAGCTTGTAAATTCTAAATTAATTAGGATATCTATCTAAGAAATACACAGAGTTCAAAAAATAGATTTAAATACTACAATATGACAATTTTATGATAAGAAAAATAAGATTAAAAAAAAAACAATATTAAAACATAAGATTAAAAAAAAAATCATATATTAAATTTTTTTGTAGTTTAAATAGATTTAAACAAACAATTTTAATACTTAATTTTTTTTAATCTTATTTTTTAATGTTATTTAAATTTTATTTTGCTTATCATAAAATTATAATACTGTAGAAATATTGCATCGGAAAAATCTCATCATATTTTCTTAAACCACTTGGACTTGATGAAAACGACCCACAACAAAAAGATTAAACAATTTTTTAATTTATTTAACAGTAAAGGAAACAATTTACAATATTTAAATACAACAAACACAAACATTTTTTTAATTTATTCAACAGTAAAGGAAACAACTTTTATGTTTCAATAACCTATAAACTTCTCCCCTAGACAAATGGATCAATGAAAATAAAATCAATATGCAATTAAAGAAAGAATTTATTTCAGTTATAACTAATAAACAGTGTTTCATATTTTTTCAATATTATAACATGTAATCCATTTCTATAGTAAAACAATAACTTTGATGAATAAGCTAGCTAAACAAAAACATTAGCCTTGCCAAAATGTTGGAATTTCATTGCCTAAAATAACTTTACGTTCTACGCCATCTTTATTAATAATAGCTAATCGAATGCAACCACCAGAAGAACCATCACGAAAGATTGCCAAAGCAACAGCTAAATAAATAAGAAATTTAATATTTATGCAATATAATAGAAGATAGCAATATAACAAAAATATAAAAAGAAAAATACAGAGTAAAAAAAGGGTCAGACTGAAAAACAGAAAAATAAAAAAATAGTCTTTAATTAAATTTTGTTATTTTATTCTTGTTATTTTAGCTTTTTTTATATAAATTCACATTAAATATTTTATATATGCATGCATGCTTTGACTTATCTAAGCCAATTTTGACACAGGTATACTGATTTAAATTTACAAACAAAACTCAAAACATAATTATGGATAAAATATTTTCATAAATTCTTTACATTATAAAAAGGTCCGCCGAACATATGCACGATTCATGTACGGCAATACTGGTACAAATTTCTGCAGACATGAGGAACTATTTTTAAAACAGTGTCCCATAATAACTTCTGAATACAACAATGGTATGTAGGTATGTATGTATGTATGTATGTATGTATGTATGTATGTATGTATGTATGTATGTATGTATGTATGTATGTATGTATGTACACTTTTAAATTAAATTAATTAGGTTTAAACTATTAATTGATTTGCTTCTAAATTGAAAATATAAAATATAATATTTTTATGCTTTTATTTTCTCTGGTTTATCGTTTATTTATTTTATCATTTGTTAAGTTTGTTTCTTTGTTCAGTTTATGGTTTGTTTATTTTTCCTTTTAGTTTTCCTTTCAATTAGTTTGTTTTTTTCATCAAATTTTTTAAACGCGCAATTTATCAAAACACAGTGACCAAGTTGTCAAAAAAATAAAATATTGTATGCATGGTAATTATATTGTATATGTAACCACACAACTCTCCTAAGAAGGCTCGTATGTATGTATGTATGTATGTATGTATGTATGTATGTATGTATGTATGTATGTATGTATGTATGTATGTATGTATGTATGTATGTATGCATGTATAAATATGTATATATATATAAAATGATACTTTGAATTTGTATATAAAATACTAAAAACAGTTGCACGCATAAGAGGGCTCAATAACAAATAAATAAATATAATTTATTAAATAGAGCATTATATAAAGAAAATACAACTTTTTATGGTACTAAAAGTTTCATGCCTAAAAGCAATCATCAACCATGTAATACAAAACAAGAAACAAAAAAAATTTGAAAATATAAAGTTACAACAGTAGAATGAGGAATATCTACACCATTTACAATTTTTCGTTTAATTGTCAGGTTTACCTACTTTTCTTCATACTTCCTTAGCTTAGTATTTCCAAACCAGCTTAGCATTGTTGCTATATTTTTGATATAAAAAGCATCTAAGTTTAAAAGATGTATTTATGAACTTTCCCAGGTGGTCATAAACACATCACTAAATTTTAAATAGGAACACTATAATAGAAAAATGAAAACTGAAACTGATTGTTTTTTTTTATTCTTTACAATTTGACAATGGCTGTTGTAATGTTTTAACAATTTAAATGCAATTTAAAAAATTGTTAAGTTACAAATAACTTTTGATTTTATGCTTTAAATTAATTTTTTTAAGTTTTTATTTTATGCTTTAAATAAAATCATAAATTAATAATAATGATAGTTTAAAATAAATGCATTATGTGTTAGTTAAATTTTATATTTAATTTTCTTTTAGTATATATATGTATTTTTTATAATAAATTTAAATGTATAAAACTATTTTTTCATGTCTTTCTAAAAATCTTTTAAAAGATTATTTGTTACTTTTTTACTTTTATGTTAAATTACAAGTTAAATAACTTCCCATGATTTAATTGCTTTTTTTTTTTTTTGTTTCTATTTTTCCAAAGAATTTTTTTTTTAACTTGTCTTACTAATTAAAGCATGAAATGAATAAAAATTACTATTTTAAAATGACTACATTATTTGAAAATTTTTTTTGCACCTTTTTTAAAAAAATGTTTATACAACTTAAAAGTTTGTATTTTTTTATTTTCAATAATTTAATTTCACTTTTTAATAATTTAAATAAAATTCGTTCATTTATTAAACAATCAATAAAAGTAATTTGTAAAAGCATTTTGCGTAACTTTAATTAAATGTTTTAAAAGATAAATTTTGAAGCAATTTTTTTCAAATGCAATTAAAAACGTAACAAAAAGTAATTTTAACTTAGAGTTTCTTTAGTTTTATTTTAAAGCTAATTTATTTTCTTTTTCGTAAGGAATTGTTTTGCTTATTCTTAAGTTCTTTTAATTTTTTTCCTAGTTTAAGTTTAGCTTAATGTTTCTTTTTTCAGCACATTTCTGAAACGTTAAAATCATCAAACATCTAAACAGTTGTGGTCAAGTTGCAATCAAAAACAATCATTTGCGTGGTCAGCAAATAGTGTTCGATCGCATTCCTGTCGAAGATTTATTTTGTAGAATTTAATACCCGTCAGTCAAAATGTCCAATTACTTTGTAAATTGAACGAACAATCTGAGGTTTTAACTGGACTATGTCCGATGTCCGACCATTAAACTGAGCCCTGATAACCATCATGTAATAAAAAATAATATCCCAAACTCCAATAAAATTGGCAATTGCACTATTAGTGTGTTCTTTAAATCAACAGTGCCTTGTAAATGACAATGTGTATCAAGCCACTCTACACCTGTACACTTCAAACGCAAATGAAAAAATGTATATTGGAGTTAGTGAAATTGCATTTAAAAATAGAAATGTTATTTTTTTAATATCCTAAAAATGCAATTTATTATCATGAAAATATCTTTTCAATATCCAAAGCATAAAATTATAACCTTTATATAACCATAAAACATATAATTCAAAATGAAACATTGAGTATCACAAAATTCATGTAGCCACTGCAATTTGAACAGGAAACAATTTGTTACTAAGATGAAGGGGTCCAAAACTTTTGAAAAATGTATAATGCAATTTATTGGATGACCTCTTGCAATGTTTAATAATAAATATTTAAAAAAGTATTAATTACTTAGTTTTTACTGTAAAAATTATGATAAAATGTAATGTATAAACTTTTTTCTTACCTTTAAATTTATTATTTACATTTAAAATCAAATTAAAAAACCCTTACCATTTGTAACAAATTTTATACATTCATCTTTAGACATTCCCTTTACAAAAGTGGAATCACAATGTCCATAAATGTATGTACTTCCAGAACCTTGAAAAGATAATTTTTTTTAAATGTTATTAATAAACACAACTTGTAAAGAATAGGAACGACAATGCCATGTCCTTAATGACATTTTTTGTAACCCTTTAATTAACTAATAACTTTGTAAAAACTTGGTAATAAATTCTTTTGAGTTCCAAGAATCTAGTTCTGTACTCAAATTCATTTTGTATGAAAGAGACTTGAGACAAGACTTTTGGTCCTATCTCAAGTCTCTTGCATTAAGACCTGTTTTTATTAAAACTCAACAGAAAAGGTTGTTTTTTTTTATTGTTGTTAAAATATTAGTTTAAACAAACAATTTTTTATCTTGCATTTCTTAATATTGCTTGACTCTTTAAAGGGATTCCAAACCTCCGAGACATGCTGTATTCATATTAAAGAGAATGATTAAAAAAATGTTTGGGATAAACTTTTTTGATTAAAACAAAATAATAAATGAATACCAAATAAAACTAAACATTTTTATTTTAGTTAATTTTAGTTATATAGTTCTCCATTTTATTGCAGGCCTAAAAGTCAGCATAATATATGCCACAATCTAAAGACTTGATAATTTATTCAAGTGCGTTTTATTCCAAAGAGTTTTAGTACATGATGTCATTGACTTTTTTGTTTGTTTACATATTTGATCTCTAAAGCAAACAAGAAAATCAACGACGCCATGTACTGAAACTCTTAGGAACATAACGCGCTTGAATAAATTATTAAGTCTGCAGATTGCGGCGTATATTATGCTGACTTTTAGGCTTACAATAAAACCAAGATATAGAGCTTTGACCAAAATAAAAAAAGTTAGTTTTACTTGGTATTTATTTATTCTTTTGTTTTAATCAAAAAAATTTAGCCAAAACATTTTTTTTATCATTCTCTTTAATATAAACACAACATGTCTTGGAGGTTTGGGATCCCTTTAAGCTTTTATGTTGGAATAAGTCAAAATAAATAAAATATTTGTCAACAAATAATAAAATATTTGGTCCAAAAAATTTTAGATTTGTTGTTGCAACTATTATACAAAAAAAAATGAAAAAGTGAAAAAGAACTAAATTGTCAGCACTCATTATTTGCAACTGTCTGTTTCTTACAGACAATTACTCTTAAACGTTTTTTGCAATTTGTGTTATTTTAATTTCTATTTACGCTTTTCAAAGTTATATAAAAAAAATTATTATATAAAAAAACTTTTATAAATAGATGATGTTTTGGCCATGCTTGGGATCACTTACTTTAAATAGGGGTATTTTAACAGTCTCTATAACAAGTTGATATTATTGACAAATGTTAATAATTTCATGACAGTAAATTGAAGCAAAATTGAAAGAAAATATAATATAACCAAACCTCCTATACTAAAAGGCTGCCTTAAACACATTCCACCAATAGGAACTGAATAAACCTAAATTGAAATTTATTGTTTAAAAAAAGTTTATTACAATAAAATACATATACTGAGATATAAATATATAAAAAAAAAACATTTTAAAATTCTTACTTTTTTATTTTTTATTTTTTATTTTTTAATTCACCTCCTCAAGGCCGGGAAGGCCACTACAGACGAGGAGGCTACTTATTTGTGGCTATAACCCTCTCTCAACTCTATAACTCCGAAACACGAACCTTGACGAACAAGGCCGCTGCGCGGAGAAACGAGTTGAGCGCGGTACTACCAGGGACGTGGTGGGGATCGAACTCAGAACCACTCGTTTATGAAGCGAGCACTCTACCACTACACCACTACCGCATAACTTATTCTCACTCAATATTAAAGACAAGAAAAAATAAAAAATAAAAAAGTCTTTGATATAACTATGGTTGTTAGCTCTTCAAATAAACATTAAAGTTATTATACTTCTGCAAATAAATTAATGGTTTTTACAAATGCATAACTAAAAAAGCAATATTGTTTTTATGCTTGAATTTTTTAAATTTTAGACAGAACTTAAATTTTTTGTCAAACCCAGTTGATATATGTCCCCTCATATACAACAATTTTGTATGTCAACAATAAAAGATCAAAGTGCTATGCTTACCCATTAAAAAACAGTTATTTTATATACATTGGACATAACTTTAAATCAAATACAAATAACTCTACAAACTAGTCTGCAAACATGTTTCCACAAAAATTCTCTCTTTTTTCTTTTCTTTTTTTCTTAGAACTTGTATAAATATGTAGAGATTTATTACAGCAAAAAAACTCCTTTTTATAATGGAACAATAAGCTAGCAACAACAAAACTTTTGCAGGAGGTTAAAAGATTAAGTATTCTCTTTTATTTTCTATATTTTTCACCACATTCATGTATAACACAAATAAAACAACAATTGATAAAAAAACAACAATACCCTTATCCTAGAAGCTAATTTATACAACATTAAAAAAAATTGAACAAACTTAGTATGTTCAAAATTTTAATAGAAGATTTATTAAATCAAATTTAATATAATAAAATCAAATTTAAAATAGGCCTAAAATTTGTTGAAATAAAAAAAAATAAAGTTTTAATGTTCTCAAGTAGAAAAAAAGTAGTGGAGATACGCGGTATTATCCAATACTAGTTAAGCGGATTTGCACTATACCCGACAATATGGTTTTTGCATCACAAATATTGCATGCAATAGATAATATTTTTAAAAATTTTAAACTTAACAATAAATAAAAAGTTTTGAGAAGTTTGTCTAAATTTTGTAAGTTATGAGATATGTACATTCAATTTACAAATCATTTTACAATATCTTTGTTGAGTTTTATTCATAAAAAAATAACTTATTGCAACTTTATGACTTGCATGTAAACATGTGTGCAATGTTTTGACTGCTTTAATTTATATGGTGTGGAAATATTTGTATTTAGAGTTAAACAAGTAAATGAGATTTTGGATAAGTCATACTTTTTGGCGATGAAGAAAAATGTATTGCATTTTTATTTCATTTAAATGTTAAGATTTGATAGTTTGATTTAAAAAAAAAATACCATCCTAAACAATGAACTAATAAAATAGTGCCATTTACTAATGATGCTCGTAGATCAATCTTTTATAAAGTTTTAGTCTTAGAACTTTTATAGATTTTAGTTTCTAATTGGTCAAATTCCAAAGATCGAACATCATGATAATCTCTGATGTGGTGTACTATTTCTCTTCTCCACTGTAAAATTACTCTTCTCCGATGTAAAATTACATTTTTATTTGAATATTTTTAAAATATAAAATACTATAATTTGAATAAAACTTTAAAATGATGTCAGCCAAAGAAAAACTGACCAAAATTGCTGAATGCTAGCCTTAATTTAGTGAACTTTTATATGTGTATTAAAAATAAACTAACCTGACCACCTTCTCGTTCATCCCAACCAGCTACAATAATTCCAGCTGAAGCACTGTCTCTACGTTCATAACAAACATTTCGAAATAAGTTAGCTGCTGTTTTCACAAGAGCTTGGCGCCCACTCTCAGCCCTTTAAACAAAATTAAAATCAAATAAAGTTGAAATACAATAAACTAATATACAAGATCAATCATATCTATTTCATTATGTATAACATTATTAAAGAATAATTTTATATCAAAGTCAAGCTTTTCTTAAATGAAAACTTGAGAGAAACGCCTCACTTGAAGTACTTAACTTTTGCCCACACCCATCTCCAACATAAGTCAATTATAGTGGGCAAACAAAAAAAGAACTTGCAAAATAGAAATTTTTGAAAAAAAGTAATACAATACAATAATACTTTTTATGTTTTAACTTAGATTTTTCTATAAATATTAACTTAAAACTCTTTAAACACAATTGAATTTAAAAAATATTTCCATTCAAAACACAATTAAACAAAATTTTAAGGCTAAAAAAGAATATATATATATATATATATATATATATATAAATAAATAAATAAATAAATATATATATATATATATATATATATATATATATATATATATATATACATATATATATATATAATATATATATATATATATATATATATATATATATATATATATATATATATATATATATATATATATATATATATCAGGGGGTACTCTAGGAAAAAGATTTGCTGCAATATTTGCAGTAAAAAATGTAAAAATAAAAAAAAAAGGTCCTCAAATTTTAATTTGAGCAGCGCCCAATTATGGTCAACGCTGTCGAAAATGGTCTATAATAGCCCCCTATATATATATATATATATATATATATATATATATATATATATATATATATATATATATATATATATATATATATATATATATATATATATATATATATATATATATATATATATATATCAGGCCTTGCGATAAAGCGTCGGGCGATGTGAATTTTATGTCGTCTAAGAGCGATTTTGCGTGTAGCTAGGGCTATTTGCGTCGAGCAAAAAATTTTTTGTTTTAGTATATTTAAAAATATTTCTTTTTTAAATGTTTAGTTGAAATGTTTTTGATTTGTTAAGTATAGACAAAACGTGTCAAACATCGAGAAAATATAGTATTTTATGTGTTAATACATTTTTTATTCATAAAAATTAGAACAATTATAAACATTGATTAACCAAATAACAACAATATTTTTATTTTTTATTTTGAGTCATTCCCAACAAGGCTGCAAGCAACCGCCATTAAGTTGGGAGTTACTAGTTTTAGAGCAAGGAAACAATTGATAGAAAAGTTTTAAGTTGTACAAGTCAGGAAAACATGAAGATGGGAGAGAGATCCAAAGAGTTGAAGTGGGAAAAAAACTAGATAATTTAGACTTTTTTTTAGGGCATACAGGGACAGATACAGTAAAAGGATGAGACTTAGCTGAGTGAAGATTTAAGCGATAATGTGTTTTGGTTGGTAGAATAAGAGATGATAGCTCCTTTGAGCTGTGATCATGGTAGTATTTGCCAAAAGGAGAAAGAGATGCAACTTTACAATGATAGGAGAGAGGCACAAGCTTGGCAAATATAGCGAGACTTTCAATACTGCCGGATGATCTCATTGTATAGCAGGACTACATGATTGATATAACAAAATAAAAACATAAAAATATATAACAATAGCATCATGTAAGATATGATGTAACACGGATGACATAGATTTATAAAAACTTTTAGTTAAAAAATTAAATTAATACAAATAAGGTATTGCAAAACTTACATATGCATATCTAGTTCATATCTAACTTGATCAGCTATGGCTTGTGTATCTGCAGCTGAACCAGACCGACAACAAAAAATATTATCTGTTACAGGTGTAAGCTTGTCAGTAACACGATTAGCAACATATGATCTAAAGAAAAATAGATAAAAGAATGATATTGTTAATTAACTTAATTAAGCATCCATAATTTTTATTAAAAAAAATCATAAAAAGCTAAATTACAGACAAACCCTTATTAAATTGTTTACACAAAAGAAAGCCTAATTAAAAATGTAAAGTGGAAAAATAAATTATAGACTTTCCTACTAACCTTTAGCAAAATTTCTACATAAAAAAGCAATTAACTACAGATATAAAACGGATGGCACGAACAGACAGAATTGACTATTGTTTTATTGTCAAACCTGTTATTAGATTGCATGATTATTTAAAGAATAAAAAGTGTTAAATTTTATTTATCAAATTTGAAAACTGAAAATTAACTCACCCTGATGTTGTTCTCGAATCAGCACCAACTACAACACCTCCATCAAATTCAACAGCCATAATTGTTGTCTATCAATTAAATAAAATAAAAATTTAAATTTTTTTCTCTTTAGTTAATTCAATTTTTTTTCAAATGTTGAAACCACAATTCTTTTTTCTATAATCTAATTTTTGAAACTCAGTGACATTTTATAATGTAAAACACACTTAGTGTGCTTTAAGCAAATATAGCTCTATAACAAACTTTAATATGTATTATCTTTACACTTGTATGTTTTAAATATACAATAACAACCCCATAATTAATAGAGTAAAATGAGGTCATTTCACCACCATTTGATGTATATCTACTTTTATGACAATAACTTAACTCAAAAATAAAATTTTTTTATGATTTTAATTTTTATTAGAAGAAAAAAACAAAACAATCAAAAAGTACTTATTTTTTAAAAGACTTGATATTAAAATTAATTGACAAAAGCAATCTTCAAAAAAACAGGAATTTTAAAATGTTCCTAAAAATTTTATTTGGTTTAGATTATGCCACCTATTTATATTAAATAGAGATGCACTTCAAATAAATATTAATATTACTTACCCTCATTTATTTTTGGTAATTAATTTCTCATGTATATGTGGTCTTATAATCAAATAAAATTTATTAAATCAATCAATTATTAACATCAATACCTCAAAAATAAAGGGGAAAATCTGCCACCATTTAAAGCAAATAGCAAATTGAAAAAGTTATTGCATAAGATAAAGCTGGCAAATTGCAACCAAGCTGCAAAACTGTACAGTATACTTCAAAGGACACTAGAAAAAAAACTCATTATCCAGATAGGATAGCTGGTGTTGGTATCTTTACAACTCTTAGCTATGTGACTAAACCCAGGCCTCCTTATGAGATTTTGTTGCATAATGGAAAAGCATAATGCAAGTAAATATAACTTTACACAATAAATATATTTACATTGTTTAAAAGTTTAAATACATCAGTTTTATATTTTAAAGTACCTCATTGTAATTAAATTTAAATCTACATTAAAAATCGCTGTAAATCTTTATCTTTATGAAAAAAATTTATTTTTAAATTAAACATTGCTATAAAAAAAAATTATAAATAAAATTTAAATATTGTTTAAAAAAAAATTATTTTAAAGTCTTAAACTTATTTAAACTTCTTTTTTTGAAAAAAACATTTACTTTCTGGTTATTTTTTTAAATGAGGGGACACTTGTTTATGGTTGCACTTCTTAAAGGGATTTGAATGTACTTACCACAAGTTTTTTAAACAATTTACACAACTACACAACTAGATTGGGTTTTCCCCTTTATAAAGAAACGTTCGTGCTACCTAAAACATTTAGTTCAACTGGAGACTCTTAAGAAAATAAAAATTGTAATTAAACAAAGAATACCGTTTTTCTGCTTTGCTTTTTTCTTTTTATTTCTATTAGAATATTTTGCTTTCATTTACTGTGAAACCTAATGTATTTTCAATATTTTTTACTTAATCCAAAAAAGTATTAGTATTTTTGGTTTTAAGATGTTATTAGCAGAAATTGTTTTTTTAAAATATCAATATAGTTTTGAAATTTACGTATCTATTATTTATGGCGCTAGTATTGGTTTTTTTTTTAAAATAAAATAAAAATAAGTTGGGCTTTTAAAGCATTTACTTATTGACATTTTTTTACATAAAAATTAACTGCAAAAGGAAAAGTTAAACATAACATTTATAACTCAAGTTTAAGTTATTTGAAAGCGCTTTTTTGTATTGACATCATTAACTACATAAGCAAATTAATCAGACCAGTATTTTTTTTTTTATTAATCTTGATATAAAAGACATTTATTACAGAAAAAAAAGTCCTAAAGAGACCAATCCTAAAATGGTTTTGAAAAGCATATATATACACAATATTACTCGATGAAAGAAACCTTTATCTTATAACACCCAAATAAGCTGTTTTTTTATCTCTTTTCTCAAAAGAAGATCAATATCTCTTTTAAAACTTTTGTTTGGGATCTATCTATATCTATATCTGAAACACTTGAATTTTTTTTTTATATAATTAATTTTTAGCAATAGTATAATTTTGCATTATTTTTGAATTTACTAAAAAAATACTATGAAAACATACATTAAAAATAATTTTTGATGTATGTTTACAAAACATATGTCAAAAATTAGCATTAAACATTAAAAAAAATAAAAACCTATTTAAAATCGAAACTCTTTTGTTTTATTTTTACATTTTATTATTTTATTATTATAATGACACTCACTTTAAAAGATTATCATTAAAAACTATCATTAAAAGACTGTTTACCTTACCAAAACCCTTATAAATTTTACAATTATTAACAATGGGGAGGGAGTTAAGACCAAAACAATATTAATTTTAAAAAGCTTTTTTTTTTTAATTGACATTGCTTTGGTTTATATTTACACCATCTACAAGTTGGTTTAAAAAAATCAATAAAAATTAAAAACAATACCATAAAAAATTAATTTTAAATACATATTTTCAATTTTATTTTGAAGAAAGAGGGAGGGGGAGGTAACAAATACTGATATCATTTTTAAGGGATGGTTAGCCAAAAATCAACAGTTTGAAAAAAGGGAGACAAAGAGTCCAAAAACAAAGAAAAATCATGACATCATTTATAGACAGCCCCTTTATTTTTTTTATAATCAATTTAGGGCACTATGTTTTGATGAAAAAAGTTATTAGATAACATATTTGTTAGTTCGTTTTTCAACAATCTTTTGGAATATGCAATCAAAACTTGAAAGTTTACATAAACCAAATAAAGCAAAAGTTTACAAATCCCACACTGCTTACTTTTTTATTTTAAAAACTTCAATATTATATAAATAATTTTATGTTGAATTTATTGATAAATAAAAAGAATTACACATTGAATTTATGGATTATAAATAAGTAAATATTTTTTACAATATTTTCTTATTTAAAATCAATAAATTCAAAGTAAATGAATAACATCCTTTATCCTACTTCTGTGTATTTTAAGAAGCGCATCAAATGTTGGAAAACATTATTCAAAAAATAATTGAATAACTTTTCATAAGAAATATCATACAAAAAAGCAACATGGATTTGCCAAGACAAATTATGTGCAGCAAATCTTTCAAAAACAGTGGATACTATTTTTAAAATCCTAATAATTGAATACTATTAGATGTAATGCTGTAAAATTTTTGCTACAGCATTTAATATAGCTTCACATTGAAAGATAGTTAATAAAAAGCTTTCTAACAAATAAAATAGAATATAGAACTATAAAATATATAAAAAAGTACAAAGTAAAACTTTTGTTTGAGAGCTGATAAATGTTAGGTCGAATAGAATTTTCTTGAATTAAAACATTTAAAAATAAAGCAAATTAAAAAATTACATACTCCTGTTTTAATCTCACTGTTTAACCAATCTGGATATAAATCAGAATCGATATTGATACCATTTGAAAAGGATTTCCAAGAAGAACCTAACTTTACTGCCATTTTTGTTTTAATTATTTAGTGATGAAGCTAGATCCTAATTTTTTTGTTTTCTTTTTAGCGCTTAGAATAATACCGGACACTAAAATATTTTTAGTATTTTTAAAAAAAAATCAGGACCAACTTTCAATTAGACAGGAGCAGGTTAGAACAGGGGCTGTTTCATTGGATCCGGACCCAAACCCAATATAAATACGCGTCTGGGTTAGAGTCGAGTATAAACGGACCCTACCTTGAACCATACCCGATTACTTAACGGATCATATCATAAACCATTCTTTCTTACGTAAAAGTAAGTAAAATACCTAACACATGTGTCATTTTTACGTAAGTAATATGGTTTTAGGTTTTTACCAAGACGATGGATAAAAAAGACTAATTTTTTTAGATCTATCTAATTGCCGCACAGTTACATAAAACTTAAAAAAATATAAATAGTTTAAACACTCAGGATTCCAAATAGAAATCCAAACCAACCTAAACAACTTAATTTTTTTGACGTAAATTTTAGTCTTACAAAAACTTTAACCAATCTTTTAAAAAACAACTTGATCAATTATTTTACATTCAATTAAAGCACCCTGTTCAAATACTTAAACAGATCTCTTTTTTTATAAATGACTGACGATTCAAAAATTCTTCGGATGATAAAATTAAAACTAGAATACAAAGCGTCGTTTAAAAGAATAAAATATAAAACTTGAACTTAAATCACAACTTATAAAATATGGCACTATCACCCCCACTCCCTTTTTTAAAAAAATGTATAATTTGGTTTTTTTGGTGTAGAAATTTACAGGAACGGAGCGAAATTAAAACTTTTGTTTGTTAATAATTATGTTAAATGAGCATGCTGTGCAAAAAAATGTGATATTTGAAACCTGTCAACAACTAAAGTTTTCATGTTTGACTTCCTACCCTAAATGTGTGAACAAAAACTTGTAAAACTTTTTTTTATACATTAGCCTAAGCTAAATCGTTGTTTCTCAAACAAATTTTGATCAATTTCTTTGCGTAAGAAAATTACAAATATGTAATATTTACAAACCGCTCATTTTGGGGGATTTTCATAATGCTAATGGTATATTCGGAAATCTTTGTTTTATGTTTAAGTTTCAAATGTGGGGTTTTTATATAATTTTATCCTTTTATAATAAATGATTAAAACGTTATTTAAATCTATTTGGGTTTTTAAATTGTTGCGTGCCTTTTTATTTTGGTAACCAAGCTAAGTTATTTGGTGCAATGAATGACAAAGAAGTCAAGGCATTAAAACAAAAAATAACTAATTAAAACCCTTAACGACGTTGTTTTTTTTTTTAAGTATTTCACATATAATCTAGATTTTTATATAGTAAACGAGTTTTGTGGGTTCTTAAGTTCAGGGTGTGAAATTTTTTTGGTTAAGAATTCAATTAAAGTTAATTTATTGGTTTTTTAACAGCTTTTACAAACAGTTTAAATAGCTTTCAATAAAACAAGTATTTTTGTAAGTTGGAAAGCTGACAGCAAAAAAAAAATAAGAACTCATTGAAAAAGAAAGATTAAGTATCATTAAGTTTTAAAGCAGGTAAGAATCAATTATATTATTTATTATTACTAAAAGATGAAACATTTTATTGAGTTAGTATTTTTAGTAAATTAAAATGATATAGTTTAGAAAAAAAAAGTTATGTTTTAACTTGATATTTAGAGTCATAAAGCCATGAATGTAATTGTTATGTTGCTGACATTTATGATAGTGTATGGTATTCAAGCTGATGATAACTCTTCCGCTAAAAAGTGTAAGCACTATTATTTTTATTATAATTTTCATACTAATAAATTACTAAATAATACCGAAAAAAAATGCTCAGCGGATACTTTTTTTTTAGAATAATATAAAATCTAGAATTTTTAATCCGATAAATTAACAAAATTTTGCAATTTATTAAAAAGTTCATCAAATCTTGGATGCTGAGTATTCTCCATATAAATAAGAAAGCAATATTCGTTATTTTATTATAACACATCATTGATATATATTTAATAAAAGTGTAATAGTGTTAAACAAAATCAAACAAAACCAAAAACCATATATATATATATATATATATATATATATATATATATATATATATATATATATATATATATATATATATATATATATATATATATATATATATACATATATATATATATATATATATATATATATATATATATATATATATATATATATATATATATATATATATATATATATATATATATACAGTAGTATATATATTTATACTTGATTAGTGATTAGTAAATTTATACTTGATATATATATATATATATATATATATATATATATATATATATATATATATATATATATATATATATATATCATATATATATCAAGTATAAATCAGGCATAACTTATATATCAGGTATAACTTAATTGTAAGTTTGCATAATTTATTGTTTGCTTTTTTTTACTGATTCTTTTATAAAGGCTACCTATTATTAGTTTTCACTAAAACTTTGTTTAAAATTAAAAGCAAACTTTTATCATTAGGTCCTGAAAATCACGAACTATGCGGAACAAAATGCAGAAATGTTACCTATGAAATATGTTGCAATGGAATTGTTCGATCTTATTCAACATTTGGAAAATGCGGGAGCAGATGCTTTTACTACCGTACTCAATACTGTAAAAATGGACGCGTTTTCGCTAGTCGTTAAAAAAAGTTTTTTTTCATAAGGTTTTTTTAGAATGTAATAATTTTAATAATCTTAAAGTTTATTGTTGCGTGATTGTTATGTTATAATTTATATAAAGTTATGTAAGTAAAAATCTAAAGAAAAAAATACTATATGTAATAATTATTTTTTTCTTTGCTTTAATATTCCTTCGGAATATTTTAAGATTGAAAAGGCAATATCTTGTTTACAGAGGTGTTCCATAAGGCTTTGACTTTAACGAAGTATTTTACGAAAAAATATAATATCTAATTTACAGAGATGTTCCATAAAATCATACTTGACCTTTTTAAGAAATATAGCAATATTACTTTTTTTTTTGAGCAAAGCTTTCGAAACTTTGAAAATTGTATCGAAATATATTTACATTATCGAAAATTTACCGAAACAATTTTTCACTTTCGAAACTCTAAAATTTGTATCGAAATATTTATATATTATCAAAATTCTATAAATAGCACTATAACATTTTATCACTTTCGAATCTCTATAAATTATATCGAAAAATTTTTATGCGATCGAATTTTTAAAAATGGCACCGAAGCAATATTTCATTTTCGAATCTCTATTATTTGCATCGAAATATTTTGATATTATCGAAATCATGAAAACGGTATCGAAATAATTTTTTATTTTCAAAATTCCTAAAATCACTTCAAACTATTTATTTGATGACATTAGTTCTGAAAACTGCATTTATATGAATATTTATAATAACAAAAAAATAAAACTCGGACAAATTTGCAAAACGAAAACTTAACATTGTTCTCAGGGGCTGTTCATATGTATGAAAAACATTCTGCCTCGGAGAGAAAAACAACAATATTTTAGTGTAATGTTGTTTGTTTCCCAGATGTGTTTGAACTTAGACACAATAATCTTAGGAGCGATTTTTATATCTAGAAAAGTTGACAGAACACAAACGTGATAAAAAGGTTTCTCACCTTGCATGTGCCGGATGCATATTTGAGCAGCCGTGGTGCAGTGGTTAGAGTTCTGGCTTAGAACCCAGAGGTCCGAGGTTCGACGCCGGCTCCAGCCCAATAAGCGACATTGGTAAGGAAGGAGGCGTGAGCCCCCAGTTAAATGCATTCCCGCGGTAAGTGATAAGTCCTTAAAGACTTCTGGGAGCACTTAAATAACCTAGAAAAAAAAAAAAAATTTATTAGTGAAATCATATAATAAATATGTAATTATTGTGTTAACAGTGAAACTGTATAAAAATATGTAATTATTTTCTTAATGTTGTGCTAAGAGTAGACGATTATCTGGGCTTTTTCTGTAACGTGATTTTTTCACTAATACATTTTTCTATCTACCGGAACAAATATGTTGCTGAGGCCTTTGATCTTAGACTCAGACAAAATAAAATATTGCATAGTTTTTGCTAGTTTATTTATAGTTTAGTTGTTCTTAAAAATTTTAGTTAAGAATTAATTCAAATTTTTACAGTTGCAATATGATAAAAAATAAGATATTTATAGAGTATGAAATTTATTTAACCCTGTCTTTCCTAATGTTGCCATTTGGCAACACAAACATTAAATTCAAAAATCAAACCCTATTTTTTTTTTTAGTTTTAAGTAATGCTAAAGTTTTGCCATTTCCTACTAGATGGCAGCATGTTTAATTTAAAAATGAATTAACTACTAAACATACTTTAGTTCCAAAAATAAAAATGTTTTTTTTTAAACAAAAAACTGTATAAAGAAAAAAAAACAGATGAAACTAGCAAAACTTAACGCAGCATTTTTTTACTGATATAGCTGTGAGCCAGATTTCTATTTAATAAAAATTTGTCGATAACAAATTGAGTTTTTATACTTGATAGAAAATAGAGAAATTTAAATGAACTAACAAGTTTTCAAATCGCTAATGTAAACGTTCGGTGTATTTTGTAAAAAACAAGAAAAATGGAAACAAATTAAATATATATATGGAAAGTTAAATATATATGGAAAATAATGTAGGCAGTTTTTGGCAATGAAAAAACTTATTTTTACTGCGAGCGCAGTGAAAATGAACTTTTGAAGCAAACTAAATTTTGTGCAGAAATAAAATGCAGAAACTTACCTTCAATATTGCAAATGAAATTGAGAAATTTTATTACTATTTATTATGTAAAAAAACGAGCTATAGGCTATCGTAATAACGATGTAAGATGTATAAAGTGAAGTTAAATTGCTTATATCATTTTGCGATACAGATGATATGAGGATGATGCTAAAAATTCTTACAAAATAAAACTGAAAACCATATGAAACTTTTATGAAACCCACAAAAAAAAAGGTCTTTTGTTTCCTAATTTGCTGACGTGTGATAAATATCCAAAACCTATTTTGACAAATGAACATATCTAATAGGTCCCAATTTACCGGCTGATTTATTGAATGGAAATATGTCACCATTCTACACCTCTCCCACCTCACCTCTTCTTCATGCCTTGACTAAATTTAACCATCAATATTCATTCGCATCTAAAAGGAGTAGGAGATTTTTAGAATTGTTTTGACTAAATTTTTATTAGGGCAAAACAATTCTCATTTGAAACCCCCCTCAATTTGAGGGGATCACAAATTTTATATGGCCATATTTTTGAACGCTAAGATATAATACTATGAAACTTAAAATTTATCAACGAATCTAGTAGAGAATCTAGTAGAGAATAGTACAAAAAATATTTTATCAACACTTCCCTTATTCCTATGGGACGAATACCGGGATTTCGTCTGAGGGAATTAATCGATAAGCAATATAAGGTTGAACTAAATCAAGATAGGGCAACTTTGATGTAATATTTTTTGTAAATACAACACCTTCTTTTCGAAGCATAGGACTTGACGGTAAAGATCTGCATCCGTCACAGAAGGACCTGCATATCCTTTAGTTCGTGAAGCTGGGTTAAATATGCTTATCTCATCAATTGAATCAAAAAAACATTCTGGAGTGTTTTGCAACGGGCTGTATAGTAAATAATTATCTTATACCGGAGACTCTTCCGGGTGTATACTTTTCAATTCTTTCAATACTTTCGAGTACTGCAAAATATAAATGACTCCCTACCTAAAACCTTTAGTGCAGCAGCAATTTTACCTTCCATCATTAGTTTTGCGAATACCCTTGAGATATCCTTAAATGAACTTTTTTTTTAAGTTAGTAATTTTGCTCTGAATATATCCAGTACCGCCGACAGGATTTAATTCAGGGGGTGGTTGAGCTGATTTTATTCTTTCTACGCAAAACGCAAACCCCCACCCTCCGCGCAACAAAAACTTTTTTTGTATGTACCTACTAAATACCTGAGCCCAATCTACTATTATTATTTATGACTCAGTCATTTAAAATTGTGACTGACTGGTCAGTAACATTTTGTCTGTCAGTAATTACTGAATAATGACTAAGTCATTGATACTGATTTATATCTTTTACGCGGCAACATATTTTTCTTGTTAAAATTATGAAATATTGTTTTTTGTGGGCAGGGTATATATTAGCATATATGCAAATAATTTAAATGTAATAGTTTAAAAAAATTGTTACTTAGTTTAAGATGGTAGATCCCCTTTTATTTGACATTTAAAAAAAAAAAAAAATTTTATTGATTCTTATAAAAAATTTACCGAGGAGCTCAAATTATTTTACTTATTAGATTAAGTAAAATAAATGAATGACCGAAGTTAGAGTATTTTAAAATTTCACAAATTTTATTAAAAAAAGTAATTAATTTTTAAAAAATAATATTTTTTTTTGTAAATATAATTAATTTGGTGATTCTTAATAATGCTAAGATTAAATATGATCATTTATTTTAATAGTTTGCTTATTTTAGATTTTAAAGTATGCATTTTTTCAAATTGTTGTTTTGCTTAAGAATTATTTCAGCAGGTTGCATATAAATATTATTAATTTTTTTTATAGATTCATATTTACGAACTAATTAAAAATATTATTTGAGAAAAAAAAGTTTGTAAAGTTTGCTTTTTTTGTATTTTTTCTTAAATGACCAAAGTTACATGGTAACCGAACTTCGGCGGTTTTATGCACTGATCTCTATAATAACTGGATAGCGCATCTCCTAATAAAATTTCGAAATTTTTGAAGCCAAAAGACGCCATATTGGAAAGCCCCAGAATTTATAAATCCGTAGTTGCGTTAAACTTATATGCGCTTAAAACACAGATTTCGCTTGATAAATAAAAAATGCAAAAACCTTATAAATGCATTGATTATTAAAAACTGAGTAAATCTGATGTTATATGTTCAGATTATTTCATGGAGAATGACTAAATATATATATGAGAATAAATAAATATATATATATATATATATATATATATATATATATATATATATATATATATATATATATATATATATATATATATAAATTATGTATACAGGGTGGCCAGCCACTTTCAAGAATTAAATTCCCTGACTTTTTATATTTTTCCCTGACTCAGTTATATTTTGAAGTGTGAATTTTTAAGTTTTGTTGTTTGGGAGTAAGTAAATAAAAGCCTTTAAAATAAATTAAATTTTCAAAAAAGACATTTTTCCCTGATTTTCCTGACAAGAAAAAAATTCCCTGACTTTTCCATGATTTCCAGTTAGCTGGCCGCCCTGGTATAATATTATTATAATAGCATGCAAGTGTATATTAGTATGCACCTTTTGATTCTTAATTGCCCTCTGCAAAATGCCTGAGGCTTGTAACATATTTGCAAGGTAAACAGCTTACAAGTTTGCTGTATGAATCATTAGTTAGGCAATGTGATTGTAACACAACCTAAAAGTTCCTTAGGCAACATATAGCAAATCTTTATATTTACTTTTAATAATTTTGTTCTTGCGTGTATATATATATATATATATATATATATAAATTAACTTAACGCTTAACTGTCGAAAAATACTTTCAAGACATTTTTGTAAATGCCATTAGACATTTTCACAACACCAGAACATTTGTATAAGATATTGCAATTACAAAAGAATATGTTAAAGTAAAAAAATATAAATAAAATAATAGTTAGCTCTATCATCTTGAACAAAATAATCATTGAATAACTTGTATAAGCATTGAATAACAAAATAAACATTGAATAAAAAGGTATTATGTGGTAGGGAAAAGTAAAAAAGTATGTACACTTAGAAAAAAAATTGTTCACCTTTCATTTTGGTCTTTTATGTTGCTTATTTGTTTTCACAAGAGATATTTTAAATATTTATTAATTATACAACTAATATTTATCAGTATAAAACTGATAGATGTTAGCTGAATCATTATTATTTTACTTTAGAGTCAATAGAAAAACTTGAAAGAAACCATGTCTGTTTTCATTTATACCATATTTACATATAAACAATCAACATGTATGTGATGCTGTTATTTAGTCTAAAACACTAAATACTTTAATGTAAAACTGCAAATAACTAGTTATCACCAAATATCCAGTGTTTTTTAAAGTTAGAGATGGCTTTTTCAAACCTTCACAAAGTGTAATTAAAGTTAGCAAAGCAACAGAACAAAACATTGTTATTAAGTAATATCAATTTTAATAAAGTATTGCATAGTTGATGATATTTCAGTTGTGGAACAATATAAACATGCCCTCAGAGTTTCAAAAATTAGAAAACCATTTACAAAAATGTTTGATACAATATTTTTATCATGTTTTATACTTGTAAAGTTACTTTCCAGCTACTATTGCTAAGTAAGGTCGCATCAAGTTGTTAAAATAAACACCCAAAAGTAACCAGATCAAATATCAATTTGTCTTTTAGAAAAGTTTTATTTAGAATATCATGAATTCAATAAATTTAACAAGTTCATAGAAAGCAATACAAATTTTATTATTTCTTTATAGCGATATTTCTCTTCGTCGTTAATGTTCTGCGTGTTTTTGATTCCCTTTTATAATTTTTACACCTTCAAACATTTTAAATATAATAATATCATTGAAATATGTGACTTGGTCGAGTAGATATAAACGAAGTAAAAAAGTACATCTTCAAGCGCAATCACTGTATTTTCGGTATTCTGGGGCTTTCCAATATGGCGGCCGTACAAAATATTGGCTTCACTTTTGATATTAGAGATGCGCTATCCAGTTATTATAGAGATCAGTGGTTTTATGGTATATTATTGAACACTAAAAATCCGCTATCACTTCAGAATTAAAGAATTTTTTTGGAAAAAACCGAGCTCGGAGTCGTAAAATATTCTGAAAAAAGATGTGAAAAAATATAAATAAAATATTCTTAAAAAAAAATTCCATGTTTCAAAGGAAATGTTAAAGAAAAAAATTTTTTCCCAGATAATCATATTACATTTATCCCTAATATAACTTTATTTACCTTATTTGTATTATATAGTGAGAGCTTAACAGAATATAATAATAATAATTACAAGTTTTTTAATAAAGCTGATGTAAGTAGTACCTAAACAGAATTTTAAAATACTGAAAAAGTGCTTGTTTTAGTTTGAAAAATAATTATATGTATTCATTTTGCTAAAATTTCACTGTATAATTTTGTGTAACAAATTTTTTCAATTTGTTATAATCAAATTTGTTTAAAATTAGCAAGTTAACTATATTGTAAAAGTTATGATTATTCATCATGGGTTATGATGTAAATCGGTTTAATGGGTGTGAAGTTGACGAAGAATTACTATGTCCAATATGTAATGGAGTTCTTGAGGATCCTGTTCAAGCACCAGTCTGTGAGCATGCATTCTGTAAAGCATGTATACAGGAATGGTTGAACCATCAATTAACTTGTCCTGTTGATAGGCAAAGTATAACTACTGCTCAGTTAAAACCTGTTCCTCGAATTCTAAAAAATCTTCTTGCAAGACTTACAATAAGTTGTAATAATTCGAGTTTTGGATGTACAACAAATGTGAAGTTAGATGCTCTACATATTCATCTGAATGAGTGTAATCATAACCCTAAGCGACCTGTTCGTTGTGATCATGGCTGCAATTTAATTATTCCTCTTGATGAAATTGGACAACATAACTGTGTTAAAGAATTACATTCTATCATTAATGCCCAGAGTGTGCAAATCAATGAAATAAAAGATCAAGTAATTGACTTTCAGAATCAAATAAATGAGTTAAGGCGTGAAGTTAATGTTGTAACAGACGTCATGAGAGGTTTTCACATGTCAACCATTGCATTACCACCTCTTCAGCGAGGTTTTACAGATTGTACTGATGAAGTTTTACAGTGGCTCCAGACGTTACCAAAAGCAAAAGTTACACGCTGGGGTGGAATGATATCAACTCCTGATGCTGTTTTACAGGCAGTTATTCGTAGATCTCTTTCAGATAGCGGATGTCCATCCTACATTCTTGATGATCTAATGGAAAATGCTCATGAGCGTCGTTGGTCACAAGGGTTAAGTACTTTAGAAACTCGTCAAATAAACAGGCGGCGATATGAACAGTATATAGCACGACGCATTCCAGGTAAACAAGCTGTCGTAGTAATGGCATGTGAAAATCATCATATGGGTATGTTACTTGTACAAGAACCTGGAATTGTTATGATATTTGCTCATGGCATTGAATAAAGAGTATTTTTATTTTAATATAAATTATTGTTATAATTTTTTATTTTATATTTATAGAATTAAAGAAAATAAAAATTTATTTTTAAAGCAATTTATTTAAAAAATAACAATAGCACAGCAGATATCTTTGGAGTTTTAACTTGTGTATAAAAATGAACTGTTTATTAAATGATTTTTTTTTAAATATATTATTATTACATTTAAGTATAATATAAAATCAATTTAGTATATTGTTATATGCTATATTGTTTTTCACCAAATTGTTAAGTACTTTGTCTGACGATAAAATTTAACATGGGCTAGTTGTGTCTAAGTTTTTAGTTGCATTAATAAATATTTTTCTTTTTTGCATATTATTTTATATTATGTAAATAGGTTTAATTTGCAACTTTAAATTACCAAGTGCAACTGTTTAGAAATTGTAGCCTTCTTAACACTAATGTGTGTATACCTTGAGTTTTTGTTTGATGAAAATAGACAATTTTAAAACTTTTTTTTTTATTTTTTTATTTTTTTATTTTTTGATATTATATAAAATCATTGTACTTTTAAATAATTAAAATCAGACTGTTAATCTATACTTTGATATTGAAACTTGTTTACATTTTATAAAAAATAATCTATTTAAACAAAAGTTTAAATCAGCATAGCAATGGTTTAGTTCAGCTTATTTTAGTTTATGTTGCCAGTAATATGTGAATCCTACTTACACTTTAAATTATCAGCTATTCAATCAGTTATTTAAATAAGCAATTTTAAGTTGCAATTTTTTCAAAACTAGATTTAAACTATTATGCAGAGCTCTAATTAGTTACTGCCCTTTCATTTGTGTCTAGTTCTAGTGAAAAAAAAAAGATTATGGAAAGGAAAATCACCCATATCTTTTTCTTTTTAATAAATAATTTGCGATTATTTGCACTTCTGATGTGGGTTAGTAAAATGGTTAAAAAGGTGCTAGTTTTCAGTAATTTTTATTTCCCTAATAATGGATAAGTTAGGCAATTAAAAAAAAATACTACTGTTTTTGTTGTGAACATAACAAATCAAAAAAGGTTTGCGTATTTAAATATTTAACTAATAACTGATAATATTTATCATTAAAATCTACAATTTATTATATTTATTATAATTTGTTATTTATTTACTTATTACATTTATTGACAAAAAGATTTATCAATAACATCTTATAGTGTATTGGTTCTTTTTTATTTAATTAATTCATTTTTTAAAAATTGATGTCTATTTCTTTTTAAATTAAATCAAGAATGATCCAAAGACGAATAGTTTCACAAGATGAAATGTTGTTACAGCAACAACTGAATGGAAAAAAAATGCACCGTCAATTTTGTTCATTACTTTTTCAATATGCTGATGTCAGCTTTAATGATTTTGAATTGTCTCCCAATAGCAGAGTTAACTGGATTGATCTTGAGAACATTGAGAGTAGATTGTATGATTCATATTTTTAAAATAAAGTTTAGCATTTTATGGATGTTTATATATTACATTCTATATGTTTACCCTAAATATTTAAATTTAAGCATTTGAGTTTATAATTTTATTTTAATATATTAATAATATGCTATTATACAATAATATATTATGTTATTATATAATGATAATTTATATGTTGATAACATCTTATGCTTGCTGTTTTATTTTTACATAATAATATGCTGTTTTTTTTTTTATAATTTTTTTAATTATTTGTTTATTATAATGATTTAGTGTTTTATTTTTCTTAAAATGCGGGTGTTGTTATATTGTACACAAGTTTTAGCTTAAAACATTCTTTTTTATTGTTTTTTGTATTCAGCTTACTTTCGTCATATGGTGATGGAAGTATCATGATATTTGATCTCTTTAAACCCTTCGATAGCCATATTTACAAAAATCTTGCTAAGATTGATAGGTAAAATATTATATTTTGTTAAAATAAAGTTAAAAAAAAAAAAAAAAAATAGATGGAAACAGAGATTAAGATTGCATGCTGGGAAGTTTATTTAAATTTTAATTTTTTGCTAAGACATTAATTTAATAATAACATTTTAGTTGTAGTTCTTTGCTGGAGAGTCATGTCTTTTTCTTGGACTAAAAATAATAATTATTTGAAATTCATATAACTTGTATTAAAATAAAAAGTTTGTAATGTTTGGTTTTTATAACCCACTGCAGTCCTTACTACCAATTTTTTTAAGCACAGATTAATCTATGGTATTTTTGAAAAACTATTAATAAGGTGAAGCTGCACTGAAACTGATTGATTCCCAGCAATATTAAAAAAAAAAAAAATTACTAGTTTACTTTCAAGTTTTACTTACTCAATTAGAACAATACTTTCAAAATAAAAATACTTTTTTATATTGAAGGTTTAACAAACCCCATAAAGTATTTATTTGAGATTTAATAAAATTTATTTTTATGGTTTACAAAATTATAAATAAACTAATTTTGATTATTTAAATTGATAACTGTTTGCTTGTTAACATTTAATTTTTTTACTTTTTTTTAAATTTTATTTAGAACAGTTTTTGGTAGTCACAAAATGTCTGTAGATTGTGTACAATGGTATCCTCAAGACACAGGAATGTTTGTTAGTTGTGGAGCAGATCAAACAGTTCGAATTTGGGACACCAATGAAGTACAGGTAATTAAAAAGTAATCTATTTAGCATTTTTGCGAATTATTGATGATTTCAATATTTTAAGTGTGATCAAAAAGTATTTTGTGACAAGAAAAAAAATTTTGATAAATAAAAATAAAATAAAATACCAAGAAAATTGATTTTGAGGAAACAATAAAAAACTAAACATCTTTTATTTGGGCATAAACAAAGATTTTCAATTTCTGAAATTTCAAAAGTTATTTCAGATGTTATTTTAGAAATTTTCTCTGTTATTTCTCTTTTCCATGTTATTTCTAATCAAATTGATCCAGCCAATGTCATTGTTGTTGGCGACTTTAATGCTCATCACACACAATGGCCTGGCTCTATTGTCAGTGGCTGCAGATGTTGAAGGGATCTTAAAGTGTTGAGACAAGTTGTGTTTATATTAAAAAGAATGATAAAAATAAAAAGTTTCGACTGAGTTTTTTTTTGAGTAAAGGAAAATAATAAATGTATACCAAGAGAAACTAACTTTGCTGTTTTACTTGAAGCTCACATTCTCCATGTTAGCCAATTGCTTTAAGTTTTTTAAATATACTTCGCAATCTACAGGCTTGATAATTTATTTAAGCTTGTTTAATTCCAAAGAGTTTTATTTTAAATCAAGTTTTTTTTTTTAATCAATATTATTTTTTTGTTTTTTAAAATCAGTGTTTATCATCAATTGCATGACTATCCTATAAATTTTATAGGAAACTAAACAAAAGAATGTTTTTTTATAGAGAGTGAGGACCAAATAAAATTAAAATTTTTATGATTTACACTCTTAAATATAATAAATATATTACAAAATACGTTGATCATCTTATTATATATTCTGAATCTTTTTTCTTTATATGTATATAATGTGAACTTTTTTTCTAGTTTATCTAAACCATTTATTGCTATGAGGTTTTTGTTTTCCTATTGAAATGGCATTTTACATATTCTTCAATTTTTAAGTAATAAATATTTTTGATAAACAACATTTATTAGAGATATTTGCCGAACTCTTTAAATTTTAGTTAAAAAATATTTTTAGTTTTCAAACTTAACAAAGTTATAGACAGCTTTTTATTAGTTAAAGCAATAATTAATGTTTTACAGCAATAATTCAGGACAGATAGCGATTAAAATAGTCAATGTGTTGCAACACACATTTAAACATATTATATTTAATATTTCCCAATTTATGTTGTATTAGGCAAGTATTTTGCAAAAATACTTGCCTAATACAAAACTTGTTTCTTAACATAACAAATCAAACAACAATTGACAATAAAAAGTTTTTCATTTAACGATTTTATTTTTGAAATTGACTCAATAATGGTACACTTTTTTGCAATCTTTAGCTATAATTGTTCAATTTTAAAAATAAAATAAAATAAGCAATACATGTTTTACAGAATGATTTTCATTTAATACATGACATGATTACATTTGAATTTTGAGAATATTTGTACTCAATGAAAAGTTGAGCAAATAAATGCTGTTAATTAAACTTTTATAAGGTTAAATAATACAAAATAATTTTTTTAACAGAATCTAAAAAAAGATAATTATCATTTAATAACAATAAATATAACGCAAAAATAATTTATAGTAGTAGACAAGCTTAAAATATTTTAAGCTGAAATTTTTTAATCATATTTTTAATGCAAACTTTGCAAAATTTATAAAATAAAACAACTGAAGAAATTCTACAGTAATTTATGATTAAAAAAAACAAAACTTTTATATAATAATAAGTAATTTCTTATCAAAATTCATATTTTTAGTTCATATCTTGTAGGTTCCTCAAGGTTTAATCCTTGGCTCTATACTCTTTTTAGTTTACATTACACACCTAAGGTGGCATTATTTGCTGATAATACTACCCTTTATTCTGTCTTGATGAGAAGCCAACACTCTCTGATTGCTTGGAGAAGACATTTGAGCTTAAAAAAGAATCTCACTTCTGTTTCAGCATGGGGCTCTCAGTGGCTGGTAAACTTTAACTCAGATAAAACCTAATTTTTTTCAACTAATTGTTATCACAATAGTTTAGATATTCTTATATTTATGACCAGTAATGTACTCAATAAATCATTTAACCTTAGTTTTCTTGGATTAACTCTTACATCCGATCTTTCATGTAAACCATATATCAAGTCCGTTGCAAAATTAGTATCTGCTAAGGTTGCATCTCTTTATCGTGGTCTTCACTTTCTTAATCCAGATTCCATTCTTTATCTCTATAAACCTCAAATCTGTCCTTGTATGCAATACTGTTGCCCTTGTGTCTCTTGTGCCATTTACTCAAATTTATTCTTGTGTTACTCGTTATTCAATTAATCTCATCCTTTTACTGTGACTGTTCTTAAGTGCTCTAAAAATTCTTATTCGTCTAGTTTTTTTCCTCACATCAGTTTTTTGGAATTCATTCCCTTCATATTGTTTACTTTATTTATATAATTTGCAATCTTTAAAGTTGTCTGTTGATTGTTATCTTGCTCTATAAACTTAATCTTTTCTCTTCCATTAACTTCCAATTCTAATAGTGGTTGCTTGCAACTTTGTTTGAAGTAAAGATGTTGAAAAAAAAAAAGCTTTACAATGATGTCATATAATAAAAATCTTAAGAATTCTTTAGAAAATTGCTTGAATAAATTATAAAGTCTATAGATTGTAGAGTATATTTAAAAAAATTAAAGCAACTGACTAACATGGAGACAGAAAGCTTCAAGTAAAACAACAAAGTTAGTTTTTCTCTATATTTGTTTATTATTTTGTTTTTTATCATTCCTAAACATTTTTATTTATCATTTTCTTTAATATGAACACTTTCATATTAAAGAAAATAATAAATAAAAATGTTTCAGCACTTTGGGATCCCTTAAAAGCCTATAACTCTTGCCTTTTTCATCGCATTTCTTATAACTACCCTAAAGCTGACTGGGACTCTTTTTGTTTTTTTCTTTGTGATAGCCCTTGGGTAGAAATATTTTATCCTCCTGCTAAAAAATGTGCTTCTTATGTAACTTCTTGAATTTAGGCTGACATGGAATCTATTATTCCCTCTTGATATTCAAAGTCAAGCCTCACTCTTCTCCATGGTTTTCCTCTGATTGTGTTGCTGTAATTTCCAGTCGTAACCATTACTTCCATATCTATCACCAAATTAATACTCCAGTAAACAGAGGTCTATTTACTACTGCTAGAAACCATTGTAAAAAGGTTTTGTCTAACACCAAAGGCTGATATTTTCAAGTCACAAAATTTCGTATTTCACCTCAAAAATTAGGCTCTTGAGACTTCTGAAGAATCTTTAATAGTGTCTGTAATAAGAGCAAATCTGTTATTCCACCTCTCTTGCTTGGTTCAAATTTTGATACCTCACCAAAAGGCAAAGTTCTTTGAACTTTTCATCAATCTCATCTCTTGATTCCATTTATCACATCCAACCTGATATAGCTGACAAACAGACTGATCTATTGATTGACATACGTACAGGGTGGCCACTGGTCATGGAAATCATAGAAGTCATTAGTTTTTGGTTTGCATGTTTAATAATGACCAAGTTGCAAATTCTTAGTGCATGGCAGGTACTGAATATTTTACTTAAGTGATTTATCATAAAAATTTATGAAGAGTCATGGAAAAGTCATGGAATTTCATTTTCAAATTTGTGTGGCCACCCTGTAGGTATCACTCCAGCTTTTGTTTAGACACCTACAGCTTGTTGTCCAAACAACATATTTGTTATAGTCTTGCAGAAGTGTTCTTGAGGAGTTGTGGTCTATACTTTTAAAACTATTTAACAAGTGCTTTTCAGCCTGCTGGAAAGCAACATCTGTTATGCCTATTTTCAAAAATTGTGGAGAGCAATCTGACTCATTTAATGACTGTCCCATTAGTCTTCTTACAATCATAAGCAAGGTTTTTGAGTCTTTAATTAAACACTTTATCTCTCATCTTGAATTTAATAACTTTCTGATCATCAAAATGGATTTTGATCTTCTTGTTCTACTGCTGATTTGTTAACAGTAATAACTGCAGCCCTCAGAGAAAAAATGAGATCAGCAATATATTGCTGACTTTAAACTGTTAGAGGTTGAGAAAAAAAAAATTTACACAAAGGGCTTGCCATAAAATATAAAAAAGAGGTCAGCATTTTTTTGTCGACCTCAAACACTTTTAGGTCAGCAATATGATAAAAATAGTATAAAAAAAGAAAAACAACAACAGATTGGGTAAAAAAAAGAACATATCCCTGAAAGTTGCCAACTAGGATGCTATATATATATATATATATATATATATATATATATATATATATATATATATATATGCAGGCCTTGTTTTAAATAAAAAATGCTCAATGCATTAGCTTAACGTGATATTTGACGTCATAAAATTCTCTTTATTTTTTTATATTTTAAAGACATTGACTTTTTAAAAAGACAATAATGTTAATTACTGCAAAACAAGTTAAATGTTATTTAACAGCTTTTTTATTATTGCTTAAAGGGATCCCAAACTCTCAACACATGTTGTGTTCATATTAAAGTTAATGTTAAAATAAAAGATTTAAACCAAGTATTTGTGATTAAAAATAAGTAATGAATGCTTACCGAGAAAAACTAATCTTGTTGTTTTAGCCAAAGCTCACCTCCATTTTATTCAAAAACTCGAAGTCTTTAAATTATTTGTTGCAATTTGCAGAATTCGGCGATTACTTTGAAGCGCGTATAATTTATAAAAGTTTTAGTATTTGATGTCACGGTAGACTTTAAAAAAATGAAAAGTGTAATTAAACAAAGCTGCGTTTTTCTACTTGAATTCAAAAAGTACGATGTAGTATTTTTTTAACATACAGCAAAACAAATTTATTTGTATTATTTTTCCAAACATCGCAAAAAAATTTTTGTAAAAAGTAAAAATAATAAATTATTTTTATTGTATATGAGCAACTTTTTTTTTACAGATATCTTAATAGTTTTTAGATTTATATAACTTAC